GCTGCAGAAAAGAAAGAAACAAAAAAAATGCCTTTTGCTCAGCTTCTTACCAATAAAGCATCATTAAAAGAGTTAAAAGATGCAGAAAAAGAGACTGAAAAAAAGGCTAATGAGATAAAATGCAAGAAGAAATCTGCAACTCAAAAAAGATTAAAATGGGAGGCTAAAAAGGCATAAATAAAAAAAAAAGGAGAAAAAACAATGGTTAACAAATGAAAAAAAAAGAAAAATCAAATTAAATTTACTTAGCTGTTATATAGATCTGTAATCCATATATTGAATATCGCTTAACTTCCCAATGGTTATTTTTCTGACAAGCCACCTAATCTATATCATGTGAGTGATAATTTAGCATTTTGTTAGTTGCAGTTATCGATTAACTGGTCTTTCAAGAAAATGACTATCAGAAAATTGATATATAACTCTGTGCGTCATTTTTGGTCTATCACCTAAAGATCACTAATTTTTTTTAAAAAAATCTTTTATTGTATAAAAATTTCTTTTGTATAAAAAATTTTTTTAAAAATAAAAATATTCTTTTTAGAAACCTTTAGATTAGTTATTCATTAAAATATTATAAATTATAAGTTAATTTAATCATATTATTTTATAGCAAATATTAACTGTATCATAATATCCCCTATTCCCTTATATATATATTTTATAATAATAATAATATATATATAACAAGTAGGCTTATCTATCAAAATAGTTAAAAAACCTCTTATTAATAAATATAGATCCTATCTATTATAGATATTTAAAGCAGTATATTGAAAAGCAGCACTTATTTCCAACCATCAACTATGACCAGCAGCAGAGAATAAAGAAAAAATACACATTCTACGAAATAAAGAAAGGTTTCTGTACAAAAAGGACCAGAAAATTAAAAGAAGGATACTTTGAGTTCTATAGCAACATGAGGTTAATCTGATTTTGTTTTTAATATATACGCATCTTCTAGTTAGACATTTTAGCAAGAATATTATATTCAAAAAGAT